AAATGTTTCTTTATTTGTGGCATTGTTGATAATGCACTGAACAGATATAATTTGCAAGGTAAAAAGGTACAGTCTGCAATCAGGCCAAAGTGGCCCATACTGCCAGAACTTATCCCAATGTCTGTAGCATGCTACCCTAACAATTGCCAGTACCCATACTCCTGGGTGGAGAGAGGCACTGTGAGAGTAAAGTGTCATGCCCAAGAATACAACACAATGACTCCGCCCAGTGCTCGAACCCGGATCCGCTCGATTCAGAGTCCAACATACTAATAGGCCATCGCGCCTCCCACTTACAGTGGTAATGTAAGGAGAATTTCACTATTCAACACTGGAGAATCAAATGGTTAGACACATGAATGATATGAAATCAGAGCTGCAGATCTACTCTACAAGAGTTACTATGGAAAACTGTTGATCATTCAGTAACATAATTTCAAATTAATTTAAAGACTGAGGAAAGTGACTTATAATCTACTTGTATTTACAATAATTATATTTTACACTCATCTAGATAGTTTTCATCAGGTTCGCATCACTGATGTCTATTGCAACTCAATGAAAAGTGAAACTTTAAAAATACAACAACACAACAAACAACCATTAGTTTCCAACTTATTAACTTGGGAAACCATCTTTAATATTCTAGATTTGAAAAATGGAATGATTTGCCGTTTTTTATTAAACCGCAGTCATTGTCATCATTGCCAAACAACATTTTTCCAGGGATAAAGAAATTAATTAATGAAAGCGAATTGAAGAAGGATGAGTAATAATATTATTATAATAATTTACCTAACGTCTTTGCACACGTTGTCGGCCTAATGACGCTAGATAATTATTTATAAGTTACCGGTACACTTGTCTTGTTTTATTAAAATACAGTCAAAGCTCTCTAAGCTGACAGCTCTACTTACGGCCACCTTAACAAAGGCCCGTTTGAACTCTAGCTCATACAAACTCTGTATTTACACATTCCCGTAAGCGTCTAGCTCTAGTTGCAGACACTTTTTCCCTGAGGGTGTCCGCTTACAGGAGCTTCGACTGTGGTTCTGTTAGTCTTGCTCAGGTTGACTGCATTGTTGGTTTTGCCTTAGGTTATACAGTATAACAGTTATTCAAGATTCTTAGTTAATTATTAAAGCGTTATTTTACAACAGAAATATAAATCTACTGCCTTTTATTTACATAGCCTTCCAAACACCACTGTACATTTGGGAGAACTTAAAATATGTCAACCAGCATTGCTCACAGATTGGGCTCAGACAGATTTCACTTCTCCCAATTAACCAACTCCTGTGTTTTCTCCATTCATAAAATATCTTACTGCCTATCTAGCCATATGATAATTATAATTGCTAAATAATACAAAAACTATTAGATGTACTTTAAATTTTAATACCATACTATTTATAATAAGTACAGTATAACTTTGTCTACAAAATGTTGACCTGTTTAAAACAGTGACATTAAAAAAAATGCCCATGTTTTACTACCAATATATTTTGTAAGTTTGACAATGTCACTTGGTGTTCACCATAAAGCGCTGAAGGGAACAGGGGGGGGCTTGGAGTAAAGGTGGGGGAAGTCTACGGGAGGCGGGAGAAGAGAGGGCGGCAAGCGGGATTCCCAAGGTGGCGGGAGATCTGGGAGAAATAAGAAAAAATTTGGCAACTTGAGTAATATTTTACGGTAGAAAAAGCACAAAGAGGAGGGAACCACAACAGAAGGAGTGGGAACTGGAAGTGCAAGGTAGGAAAGTGGGAAGTTTAGACTCCCCCCCCCCCCTGTCCCTCCCCTGTCCCCTCCCCCCCCTCCACCACTATAAAGGAATCTTACAGTGAACATCAAGCAACAGTGAATGTCAAAGCAACAAGGAAATGTTGTTTGTTGTAAAAAAGAAAATAATAAATGATTAAGACAATAGCCCAAAACAAGTCCATTATTGAAGTAGAGGGGTAGTTCATAGTGAAGCCTGTACAAAACTTTCCCAACCTAAAACTTTAACCATTATGCATCCTCTAACCCTAAGCCTAACCCAACCATAACCCTAAATATGCTAAACATAACTCTGACCCTATAAAGGCTTTCACAACAAACCACCCAGGGAGTTGTTCGAAAGCAGATTAACGCTAATCCAGGATTAAGAAATAATCAACTATATAAATGTGGTTTTCTATGACAATGTTTTGTGGAGTTTGACATTAGTCAAAGTTGAAACTGACGAGCCAAAAATATAAACAGAAAATCTCACTGAAAAGTTACAAAACTAAAATCAAAATTCACGGTAATCCATGATTAGCTTAAAATCGTGCTTTGAACAACCGGGCCCAGGTAAGCAATGGGAGATGAATCTGTGAGCTGAGGGAAACCAGTTACAGAACAAGCAATGTTTCACCAATAATATTATTAAGTACTGGCAAAGACTATCAGAAATAATATTAAGAGTAACGACATGGGACCCTGTGACAAGGCCTCTACAATAAAAATTATATAAACTATCGACGTTAATGGTCATTTCATTCTTACAGTGAAGATGACACTACCGTTGCCACTCGACAAAGTTTTTTGATTAATTTTTGACATCTTTTTGACAACTTTGATGGGTTCTGTTTTGTGGCGCCATATTTGAACTAGACTAGAAACTTAAAACCACGACTCTGACTCCAACACTCCTTGGATTTTGATGGTCAAGTCAAATGGAACCCATCCGAAAGTCGTCAAAAAGTTGTCAAAAATTAATCAAAAACTTTGTCGAGTGGCAATGGTAGCGTCATCTTCACTGTATTTGTAACAAACCAAATGAACTGAATATCACTGCAAATAAATGAACATGTTTGTAACAAAATATCTGCACTAAGCGCAGCTACAGGTTGCCGTTACGGTAATATTATGATTTTTCAAAAGTGTTAAACACAACTTAAATTTTTCATACATGTATTAAATTTCAAATGATGTTTGCTAAGAAAATATTTTAAGGTGACAGTGATTTTCATGAAATTTAATACAGAAACCAAAATGTTAATGAAGTTCAACATAAACCGACTAAACATTTAAAAAAAATCCATTTTGTTATATTTTGTTAATTGTTAACAAAAGTGACTGAGTGAATAAAATAATAATTAATGTAATCAAAAGGGATTAAATGAATCGTTATCCAGTATTTGGATATGTTTTGTTTCCTTCATTAAGTTCACTATAAGTACAAAGACAGACTGAAAGACATTTAGCTATCACTAGACCTAGCACTGATCAGTTACATGTACAATATGGTGATCTTTCTAAATATGTATCTAATGCCATTATGAAAATGATTTAATATCTATTCTTATAAAGCTCTAAAATACTGTACAGCTGTACGTACATTTGTTTGGATAGAAAAATAAACCTGCAAAAATAATGATAATAAAAGTAAGGAAATAATCAACATTTTCTGGATCAAATTTATGCGTTGTTCCAGTAAATACCCCCATATGGAAGGATTTTTGGGTTTGAACCCTCGCCCCCCTAGAATTTCCAGTTTATCTTCATACTTTCCTTTAAACATTTTTTCTTTTTGAGACGCCCACCCCCTCGGAATTTCCAATGACCTTCCTTGGGGTGAGTATGGTGGATATTTTCTGGAACCGCACAATACATCAGGAAAGTACTCAATCATAAGAAATCCTCTAAGACTGAAGGCCTCTCTTTGTGTCCAGTTGTGTTCATGATCACAAAAGTTAATATGAAAATTACAAACTTTTGCTATGAAGTCTCAAAACTCATTCATGGGTCAAAGATCAAAGGCAAGTAACACAGTTGGTGGAACAAGTGCTGACAGTTTTTGGCAAATCTTCGTTGAAGCTCTTGAAGAGTTTCCGATTCTTATTATCCAATCGAGAAACAGCGTGAGCATGTTCACAAGTACTCTTACTAAAAATTTCCAAGCCAGCACTGCTTTGCAACTTTGCAAAATCATGGGCTCAGTCCCTGACTCGTCCCCAGTTGTCTCTCTTGTCTCCTTTGTTGGGAGTCGCAAGACGCGGGGGATGCTGCCCTCGGCCGCGCTAAATATTAACAGGAGACAAGAGAGACGACTGGGGACGAGTCAGGGCTCAGTCCCATCTTGGAAACGGAGGGCCACTAATGTTTTAATTATGGTCAAAATCCCCTACTTTGCACATTCAAGTACCTTCTGTCAATAATTGATTTAGTGTCTATGTTGTGGTTTAAATTTATTTTTGGTTTAAAATTTTTCAAACCAGTTTTGATTTTGATTTTCCTTTGTTTCAGATTATGGTAATGAATATTAGACAAAGGAAAATCAAAATCAAACTGGTTTGAAAAATTTTAAACCAAAACAAAATTGAACCACGACATCTACATCCCAGCATAAGTGAACATCTTACACATACCTCTCTGCTTGAGCACTCATCAATCCCTGACAGGGGCAAAGGTGAAACACGATGCAGAGGTTCCTATTGTCCTGGGAAGGCTTTGGGTTGTCGTTGGACCAGCAAGAGGTGACCTTGGCGGTGTAAATTTGGAGCGATAAACGGGATGTCTCTGTATTTCACCCAGGTGCATGGGTGTGGCAGAAGATAGCGATGACAACGATGAATCTGATGCCGAGGAGCTGTGGGGATCTTCGTGTATGTGATTATCATCATCAAAGTTTAAGTGCACTGATTCATCAGGTGAACAGTTAAGCGGCAAAACATCACAAAGACGCTTTGACGGACTGACGCCTGGCTCAAAGCCTTCTGATGGACCTGGATAAAAAAAATGTTAGTAATAATCGTCACAAGCCTAGTGGCACACAACTGCAGGAACTTATTCCAGTTTCTGTAGTACAATTGCACAAAGCGACTAGGAGAATCGCTACTGAGTCAGTCCCTGGATGGGATGCTAGTCCATCACAGGTTATCCCCAGCCAGCATTTTGTACATTAACAGTTCGCCGGTGCCCATTTATACTCCTGGGTGGAGAGGAGCAATGTGAGAGTAAAGTTTCTTGCCCAAGAACCCAGCCAGGGCTTGAACCTGGACCACTCGATACGGAGTCCAGCATGCCAACCATTAGGCCACCACAGCTCACACGATAATCAAACAAAATCATTCTTGGACTGGTCAGCATGCCAACCATTAGTCCAGCATGCCAACCATTAGGCCACCACAGCTCACACGATAATCAAACAAAATCATTCTTGGACTGGTCAGCATGCCAACCATTAGTCCAGCATGCCAACCATTAGGCCACCACAGCTCACACAATAATCAAACAAAATCATTCTTGGACTGGTCAGCATTCGTCTTTTGTCCTTCAAATCCAACCCAGACAATTTACATGTACCTCACTCAAGGAAAATATTTACCCTCATTATTATTTTAACAGAAATTATTTGGAATATGCTCTAAACTTCCTGCCTAATACAGTTTGCTTTTTCTATTATTCATGATTTTTTTGGACCATTATTTTGGTAAATTGATACAGAGCACACTAACTTACATTTTCTTTTTAATGCTAAGGTACTTGGTAAGGTAGTTGGTCGAAAATAAACGGGACTGAGACTTCTGCGCCTGCAAAGAAAGACACAAGGGACTCAAAAGGGTGCCAAAAATGAGGAGTCGACAGATAACCTTTAGCATAACATAAAATATTGCATGTACTCCTTAAACCAGGGTTCTAACCCGAGGCCTAGGGGTACTCATAGAAATTGTGGGGGGGGGGGGGGGGCACCCACTTCTTTAACCCTTTCACTCCCAAGAGTGCTAAGTTCAAAACGGAGGAAAAAACCTTGAATTTCATCTTATAAAATTACCAAAAATAAACAGCACCACTTGAAAGTACTGCTCAATAGCTTTAGTTTGAATGGTCACACACTAGGGCTTCATCCACAGACTCAAAAGTTAGAGCCACATTTATTGACTCAAGGTTTGACTCTGGGAGTGAAAGGGTTAAACCATTAGCCATTTTCTGACCAAAATGTGCACTTTTCCCTCACAATTTCAGACCCCTTAGTGACACCCCCTCACAGGTGCTATGGGTTCAACTGAAACCACTGTTAGTTAAGCTTACGTGAATGTTGCTCTGGTAGGACTTGGTACTGGACTAGGAGTAAGGCTTCTTGCGTTTCTCACTCCCTGAAAAATAGTACTGTTAGTAGTGATTCAAGAAGTGCACATTATCATACAGCAATTTTCTGCAACGAAAAAGCAGTTCTACACATCACAACGTAGTACCAGTGACTGTCTTTAGGGTTAACTGCAGTGGCATATGCAGGGGGAGGGTCTGGGAGGGGGGGGAGGGGTCCGGACTTTCCCTATCAGAGCTGAGGGTTTTTTTTCTTTCACCATTATCCATAGCAAAACCATCTCCAGGATCCACCAAAATGCACTTTTCAGAGCCTGAAATTTTTCTGGGGGAGTCCCCCAAACACCCCAATTGGAGGGAAGCAGTAATAGCTATTGCCGTTTACTTCCAAAAATTTTCCTTCTACTTCCGACATTTTCGGGAAAACCCTGGGACCCCCCCTATTAAAAATTCCTGGATCTGCCCCTGAACTGTGCCTTTCAATAACCCAACCAACATCTGTTTACTCACTCCAGGCTACACATGTAAAGGTTTAGATAGCTTACTTTCAATTCATTTATTTAATTCTCACCCTCTGATTATTTGTTGGTGATGATGATAATGATGGTGAAGAGAATGCATGTCTGTGGTCATCAAAAGAGTTCCGTCGTTCATGCATGTCTGTATCATGGTTCTTGTCATGATCCTGAGAAAATTAAACAGTACATAAATATACAGTTGAACCTCTCCACAAAGGCCATTCTGGTGCAGAAATTTATCTGGCCATTGTAGGGAGGTTTCAATATGAGTAAAGTGTATCCCGGGGTAGTCAATCGATAAAATCGACAATCGATAATATTCGATAAAAATCGATAAAAATTGATTAACTATTTCAGAAATCGATAAAAATCGATAAAAGGTTTCGTTGTGAGTAATCGATAATTATAATTAGCGTTATCGATTTTATCGATGAATAAAATTGGTCTCTCATAAAACATAATGGTCTCTCATAAATTGCTTCTCAACAAAATATCTCACAGGCATAGGCGACCCATAGGCGACTATGTTACGGGATCTTCGCTAGCACCTTCGAAATCTACATTTAAATAGTCACAACAAACGCTGCCTCGACGGACACAGTTTTTAAAAGCGTAAAACCAATGAACAAATACTAAATTTCAATTGATTCTATAACGATCGATAAATCCGATAAAATCGATAACGTTGAAACTTCACTGGTCAGCGTGTGAGTATCGATTTTTATCGATTGATCGATAAAATCGATAAAATCGATAATGGTTAAATTCAAATTATCGATTGATATCGATTTATCGATTGGTTTTCCGATATCGATTTTTATCGATTGACTACGCCGGGAGGGAGTGTATGGATCATTAGCACATGGTCGGCAAGAAAAATCCTGGCTGTTGTAGAGAGGTGGCCATTAGTGGAGGTTTGACTGTAGTACACCCTTTCACTCCCAGAGTCAAACCTTGCGCTAATTGTCACAAATCTAACTTTAAATTATGTTGATGAAACCCTAGTGTGTGACCATTTAAATGAAAGCTATTGAGCAGTACTTTTATGTGGTACTGTTTATTTTGTCAGTATATAAATACAGAAAATTGAAAGTTTGGGAGTGAAAGGATTAACAGTAGCTGCTACCAATGAGCACTTGTCTTCACTCTGGTTTCTGCAGCATGAAACATCTAGGAGTACAGTCAACTCTCTCTAAAGACAGACACCATCGGGACCAGAACCAACTGTCCATCTAGCCTTAGAGAGGTGTCTGCCTTAGAGAGAGTCGGGTAACCTTACACAAGAAATTCTGAGAAAGTGAGGATGAGGATTTTCCTTTTCAAGCAATCCGGTTCACATTACTCGCACATTACAGGGCTCGAAATAGAAAAAAATTATAGCCTGCCATTGTTTATATTTTTGGCAGGCCAAACAAATTTTGACCTGCCCATTTCTTTTTTTCGCCTGCCACATATTGAAATTTTTACTAAATTTTTCATTGCGGCCAATTGATTCGTGGAAAGGAATAGTAGATAAAGGAGCATGGTAAGAGGAGAAGAAAATGTCACAAAACCAGTCCAGTAAATTTCGCCTGCCATTTTATTATCCATTTGGCAGTTCATCGTTATTTTCGCCTGCCAAACCTGAAATTTGGCCTGCCATTTGGCCATTGGCAGGCTGCTATTTCGAGCCCTGCATTAGCACTGCTGTACCATGTGCCCAATTATAAAGTATTGTTGACAGTTTGAATTCACAGATTGAAAGCAAACTCCGGAGTATGAGTATTTGCTAGTTTTAATACAAAGATTGCTAACTCAAATTCTAAATATAATTAAAACATCTATTGTCTACTTGGAAGTCAGCAAGTCTGGTAAAAATTAAAGTTATAAGCAATACATTAAAATATTTGTTCAAATAGACTTACCATTAAAGACATGTTCTCGTGTATCCCAATCGCGAGGAATAGTTCACTAAGAAAATGAAAGATTTTTAAAAAATGTGAAATTGTAAACCCCAAAATTATACAAGTCTGTCACGTACGTCTAGACATAAAAATGGAGATTCTTTCAATTATTTTTGCACCAAGGTGGACCAGCTAGTTAAACAACATCTGACAGAAATTATATACAAAAAAGTTCAACTGCTTAAGAGCGGTTTGCTGTAAGGACCGACTAAGGGATGCAAGATAGAAAAAAGCGTTTTCCCCAAACTTTGCCAGAATAAAGTCCTTGGTGAACTAGTTCTAAAAATATAAGTTTCGGGTCGTTTAGAATTTTATTTATTTTTTAGTGAATTTTTTTGTGTTTTGTGCTTGGAGGCAGGCTAAATTCACGCTGAAATCGAGACTTTTGCGAAAGCTCCCGTTTAAATATCGAAAGCCTTTTCGAAAAGATTAACCCATGGAGTCAAAATCTGTTATTTCCATAGGTTATTAGCGGTATAAAATTTAAATTAAACGTAAACCTGAATTTTTGACGAAATTTTTAATTTACTGTCACCCTTCAACCTTCGTTACAACAACCGAATTTTGGCTAAATTCAAGGCTCAAAAAAGCAATCTGGTACATGGATTTACCCAACGAGACTATACTCCGAGGAACTACAATAATTTCAACTAAACATCAGGCGGAAAAAAAATTGGGGTAAATAAAACGGAAAATTCTGAGAGCGTTTTCAAAAACAGGTCACTTGAGCAATATGAGCGACCCGTTGACCTTGCGTGACAAAGGGAAATCAACAAACGGTAGCTCTTAAAATGGATTCCTTCGTCGAAATACGCATCAGTTTGCTTTTCTGTTATGTTTTTAAGTAGAGGAAACTAGATTCTTGAATTTGGAGTTGTGTACTCGCAGTGCTAAGCTATGAAGGGAGATTTAGACAAGTATATTTTGAAATTTCACCCACTCTGCTTAGACGGTTCCGATATGTTGATCACATTGGAAGTCTGTTTACAACGCAAATGTGGCATCATCTAAGAAGTAAAAGTCAATTGACCGAATATTCCTTACCTTCGTAAGCTTTTCCTGCCTGGAAACCACAGCATTTTTAGCAAAACACAGAGCAAGATCGCCGAGTCATATCGCACGTGGAGCCAAGTTGTCAAATGTTTCTATATGTTAACGATTAACCAGGCAAACCACAGGACACCCAGCAGTTGTAGTCACATCCCATCGTGGCGCTCAGTTCTTTATAGCACAACAGTGCATTTTTACGCTATAAATTTGACACCTTCACAGCTGTATGTCGAACGCTATAAATATATATGTATTCGATTATCCTGCATTGGTCAATCACACACGTAAAGAGCACCACACCCCGGACGTGGCACGGCTGAGAAGCGAGGTATTGACCCATGTTTGGGTATAGGGGTGCCGCTGAGGGTTTGAAAACCTGACCCTGTTTAGGACAAAAAAATAAAAAACCCTAAAATACCTACCCTGTAGGACAACATCCTCTATTTTAGGACCCTGTTTAGGTTTCAATGTAGCTTATCACGTTTGACTG